AAAAAAAAATATTAAAAACTGAATCTAAAGTTTGAGGAAAAGGATTGAATTTTACTCTCAGCTCCATGGCTAAAATGATGTAGCCTTTGTCATTATTTTCTTTCTTCTTTTTCACTTGAGGATGTTATGCCAAAGACAATAGTTAGGAAATACACACACACACACACACACACACACACACACACACACACACACGACATATGAGAAGAAGAAAGTATTAAAAACTGAATCTAAAGTTTGAGGAAAAGGATTGAATTTTACTCTCAGCTCCATGGCTAAAATGATGTAGCCTTTGTCATTATTTTCTTTCTTCTTTTTCACTTGAGGATGTTATGCCAAAGACAATTTAGTTAGGAAAAGTATCCTAGGGGAATAACAACTCTGCGGCTCTATCTAATATATATATTTTTTTGGGGGGGTACCGGGGATTGAACTCGGGTCCTTGTGCTTGTGAGGCAGGCCACCGAACCGCTGAGCTAAATCCCCGGCCCTAATATATTTTTTAATTTATCATGTTTTGTAGTTTTCAGGTTCACATTTCATTTGTTTCACTGAGCTAAGTAGAAATCCAGTCAAACATCTCTTAGCATGACTGATTTCTTTTCCAAATGATTGAACAGGAGAAATTTGTCATTCTAAGCTACTGACATCTTCAAGTCAAAGACATGGCCAGGCGTGGTGGCGCACACCTGTAACCCCGGCTTGGGGGAGGCTGAGGCAGGAGGATCACCAAAAGTTCAAAGCCTGCCTGGGCTACACAGAGAGACCTTATCTCAAAAGGACAAAAAGTCAAAGGAAAATGAAACTAAACGGTGTCCTCCGTTTGCATGCCCAAAGTGTAAGGCTGCCGCCTTCCCTGAGCTTTCTTTTCCTGACTGTGCAAGGACACCTGCATGTAAAGTCGGACCTCACCCGTACTTTAGAGTTAATTGTGTGCAAAAATAACATCAGAGTTGAGCGAAAGATGCCGGGACCCCATGCCAGTGTCCGTCAGATGTTACAGGCTTTCGGTGACCTCAGCTGCATTTTTCTTCCTGTTCTCTTGCTGATTGTTGGCAGACTCAGTCTTACTGTTTTCACAAAGAACTCACAAAGAGGACACTAGGGACGCCCACCTGTGCCTTTGAGGCGAGGACCTATGTTGTAAGTGTCCCTGTGTCACAGCTCACCGTCACAGCACAAGCACTAACCCTATCGCCAGGCCAAGACCGGGGACCTCGCGCGGCCATGGCACCTCCGCAGGCCAGGTGGCACTCTCGGTTAAGACCAGGACCCAGGGGAAATCTCACCGGATGAAACAGTGGCCTCCGGGCGTGGTGGCACACACCTGTGATCCCAGCACTCGGGAGGCTGAGGCAGGAGGATCTCGAGCTCAAGGCCTTGCCGGGCTACATAGACCCTGTCTCAAGAAACAAAAACAAAACAAATTCAGTGGCCACTTCCTGTGAAAAACTTGCAGGTAAAGGAGACCGAGCTGCGTAATAATCCTCCCGTATCCCAGCGCTTTCAGGAGGCTGAGAGCTCCCGCCAGTCCCCTCCTTTTCAGTCTAGCTCTGGGGAAAACGTTAAAGGGATCGTGACATTGCCGGGTACGAGTCTCTCTCACCGTGAGACGCAGCCGCAGAGCACGGTCCCGGGACACAGCGCTCTTGCGGGCGACAGTTGTGGGCCCAGTGAGCCCCGTCTGTGACAGGTGGGCTGGGAGGTTCGGACGCCTGAGGATGGGGCAGAACTGAGTGTCACGTGGGCAGGCAGAGCAGGAAGTGGCTCCGGCCCGCCGCTGTGAGGCTGTGAGCCGCTGGCCGGTGTCCCCTCTCTCTGCATGTGAGGTTAGTCCCTGTGACTGTCCGGTAACACAGGTCCCGCTGGCCGTGTCTCGCGTCTCGCATGTGTTACTGACGCTTCCGGCTGAGGTTCTTGGCTGCCTAAAACTGACGGCTTCCAGTTGTCTGGCATCAGGCAGTGCATGTAACGAGGCTTTGCGGTCATTCTCCGAGCCGCTGAGTAGCTTTCTGACCTCAGGTTATCCAGTTGGCTGGTTTATGGCATCAGATCAAGGACCAGTCTACAACCTTTAAAAACAATTCCACAAGCCGGGCGTGGTGGCTCACACCTGTAACCCCAGCACTTGGGAAACTGAGGCAGGAGGATCGCTGTGAGTTCGAGATCAGCCTGGGCTACATAGTGAGTTCCAGGTCAGTCTCAACTATGTAGTGAGACCCTGTCTCAAAAAAAAAAACCCAAAAAACAACAAAAAGCAATTCCACAAGCCGGGCATGTTGCCTGCCTGATCCCAGCACTCGGGAAGCTGAGGCAGGAGGATCATTGCAGGTTCGAGGCCAGTCTGGACTACATAGAGAGACCCTGTCTCAGAAAACAAAAAGAGACGGACTCCATGCTCCACGTACCGAGCGGTGCTTTGTCAAGTAACCTTCACTTGTCCCTCCAGAAAATGGATTCCAGCCTTCAGTATTTCCTGCTTCTGTGGGATTTGCGGTCAAGCCTAAGGGTTCACTTCTCTCATGACTGGGCATCTTCCGGTGCTGTAGTTTGGGATGCTAGAATTAGTCTTGTGAGACTTTAGAAGAATGTGTAATTGCAGTGGCGGAAGCGGCCTGGGGCAGAATGGATGGAGTCAGCCTCGGAGCCGGCCCTGCGTGGGTGATGCGGGGGCTCCCACGGGCTGCGGGCTGGGGAGACGCGGGGGACCTGTCCTGCTGCCTCCGTGCCATCTGTGCCTGTGTCCTGCCCCCCTGTGACCGCGGATCTATGCCCTCATTGGACCCCCGCCTCGGTGCCTCTCTAGTCTCCCAGAAAGCTGCTTAGCAGTGCCGTCTCTAAAAATCTTTTTTTGTTCCCTCATAGTGACAAGTTCTTTAAAAGGTTATGTGACTGAAACATGAGCCAAAATAAACTCCTCCTTTAGAAAAATGCCCGGCATGGTGGCACACGCCTGTCATCCCAGCACTCAGGAGGCTGAGGCAGGGGGATCACCATGAGTTTGAGGCCAGCCTGGGCTACACAGCTACTGCCACTACCCCGTCTCACAACAATAACACACAATCACAGGCACTTCCGTCGGTGTCTGGGTCCAGGGAGCAGTCCCCTGACCTGCTGTCCGTCTGCAGGTCCCACCTCGGGTCTGGTGAGCACCCCTGCGACCCCGTAACCTCAGAGGCTGTAGCCGAGGGCCATGGCGGGTGACCCCAGGTACCTGTTTCCTGAAGGCGACTTTTCCACAGCAGCTGCCCCGGCTGTTTCTCCAGACCTGTGCAGCCCCCGTGGCCAGGGACAGGCCGGAGACAGGGCTACACCAGGTGGAGGCGTCTGGGTTGGGACCCGGGGCCTTCTCACTGGGCTGTATTCCCAGTGCTTTTTATTTCTTTCATTTTGAGGCAGGGTCTGGGCTCAAACTTGGGATTCTCCTGCCTCAGCCTCCCAGCATGCAGGGATTCCAGGTGAGCAGCACCTCACCTGGCTAGGTCGTTCCTTCCAGCGACTTGTAGTCCTTACTTGTCCACTCAGCAGTTTGAGGCCTCTCAGTGCCCTTAAGAAATGCCAGGGTTCCTGTTTACTAGAGGCTGTTTACTTGAGGTGAAAATGTGACTGGTGTTTACTGGGAAACATCTGTGAAAAGCTGGAGAAACCCGGTGAGCCAGAGGCGGGCTGGTCTTTTTCTGCTGTGGTCACCACGCAGCGCCCATCGCAAGCGTCCTCTGGTGGCCGTGTCCCGCTCACCCTATGCACCCCGCCTAGAGAGTGGCCCGCGGCGGCCCTTGTGGGGACTTGTGCACAGATCCGCCCGGTCACCAGGGAGCTGTGTGTGGTGTGAGCCGCGGCCAGCCGCCTGCCTTCTGATGCGTGTCTCTCTCTCTCTCTCTCTCCCTCCGGCGCCCTCTTGCCGTTACCGCTTCCGTTTCTCCCGAAGCTCTCTCTCAAGCTGGTAAGCACGACGACCATGCATGTCCCGACCTAACCGGCCCGCGGGCCCGTGGGTGCTCTGCTAACGCGAGTCTCCCGGGCTTTGCTTGGCGTCCACGAGGCCGGGGGTGTGAATGCCCGCGGCTGATGGATGGTCCTAACCCTTTCAACTGCTAAGAAAATTACCGCTTAACTGCGACCCGGTTTTCGTTATTGTGAGGACCTAAGAGGATGACAGCCGCATGCTGCAGTCCCAGCCCTCGGGAGGCTGAGGCAGGAGGATCACCATGAGTTTGAAGCCAGTGAGACTCTGTCTCAGAAACTCAGAGAAAGAAAGAAAAGAGGGTGACAGATGGTGATCAACTCTCTCTATAAATTGGAACGCAAATGTTACAAACGGGACAGTATTTACTAGATCATTTGAAATAAAAGTAAACGTAATCATGGGAAAGGCCCCCATGGGAGCCATAGAAGCAGGTAAAAGAGGAGGCAGAGACTCAGCGATCGCAGTGGCCTGAGCGGCAGGGAGGGGGAAGCTCGCGCGCTCCTGGCGGCCACAGCCCCGGTGGTTTAGGGACATGGAGGGCGAGAGTCAGCCCCTCATGCTGTCTAAGCGTTATGTTTATGAAAAGATACTTGAGCCACGCAGCCCCCAGCTCCACGTCACCTCAGGTGCCACCGCCAAGCGTCCTCAGTAAGGGACGGTGTGTGGGCGCAGGAGCGGTGGGTTGGTGTGTGCTGCCGCCCGCTCGGGAGAGCACACAGTGATGACTTTCATGCGTGCGCGCACGTGTGTGTGTGTGTGTGTGCACGCCGTCACCCCAACACATGGGAGGCTGAGGCAGGAGGAGCGCTCCGCTTAGTACTGACTTCTTTTTGTTCGGTTTGTTTTGTTTTGCTTTTGTTTTCTTGAAACAGGGTCTCACTGTGTAGCCCTGGCTGGCCTCAAACTCACAGCGATCCTCCTGCCTCAGCCTCCCCAGTGCTGGGATGACAGGCGTGCACCACCACGCCCAGCACATTCCAGCTTTAAAAAAAAAAAAAAACCAAAGACCCCAGTTCTGGAAAACATGTTGATCTGCTTTTAAGTAATTTCCAGTGTGAACCCTAAGTGTTTTCTTTCAAGCTCAGTGTTCACATTGAACCGATTGAACAGATCGAAAGGCAAATAATAATCAAGGTTTCAAATATTCCAAACCCTGTCGATCAAGCCATTTCTTTATATTCAAGGTGACCTTTGCTTCTTGTTCATTTGGGAGACCAAACTCCTTGCACACCGTCACCGCCTCTCTGGTTTCAGTGAAATCTTTACACGTGCCCTCCCGCACACCCGGCCTCTGCGCGCTCTGAGCCGTAACGGGGTCTCCCCCGGGCCTCTCCTCTGGACATCTGCTGACTCACACATTCCAGCCTGGCCCAGTTACGGGCCCGCCCAGCAGCTTGGCCTCGTGGCCCCTTCCGGAATCCCATTGTTGGGCCCGCCTGCCACCCACCCCCCAAGTCAGCCTGCCCTGTTTGAAAGAATTGAGGTATTCAAAGAAAACCTCTTTTCTAAATTCCCTGGCTTATCCTAGGCTCTCTGAACGCATTTTCTTCACAGAGAAGCCCAGCTTGCGTAAAAGTGCCTGAGAGTACAGCTTGGCCTGAGCTTGGCCTGAGCTTTCTAAGCCGCAAGCGGCCGCAAGATCTGGGGGCTCCCGTCGCCTCCAGCATTTGGGGTGTTTTTCTCTTGTTTTCTCAGGATGGTCTCGCTGTGTAGCTCAGGCTGACCTCGAACTCACAGTGACTCTCCTGCCTCAACCTCCTGAGCGCTGGAATTGTAGGCGTGGGCCAAAAATACACTTCTCCGGCAGATTCAGAACAGCGAGGTTGATTTCCTCCGCCCTGAGGACCGAGTGCAAGGTCACAGTGGATGTTCTGTGCCAACGCTCTCACAAGGCAGTGACGGCACTTGGCAGGAGAGGGTGGCGCTCGTGGTGTCCTTGTCACCCACACTCCCTGCGGAAGAGCGCCGTGACCCATCTCTCGGCCCGGCCTTGCCTGAAGCCATGGAGAGCAGCCCTCGGGGTGGGAACGGGAAGAGCAGGCGCCTGTCCTCCGGGGCGCTCGGACAGGGTCACGGACAGGGTCACGGAGAGTTCGAGGCCAGCCTGGGCTACGTGGCAAGACCTGGTCTCAGAAAATAGAAAGAAAGGGCCGGGGATTTAGCTCAGTGGTTCCACTGCCTGCCTCGCAGGCACAAAGACCCGAGTTCGATCTCCGGTACCCCCCAAAAGAAAAGAAAGAAAACAGCAGTTTGGTTGTGGAGTAGTTGCGGCAGGGCACGTCCCTGGTTTGCATTAAGGAAGCGGACTGGGCCAGCCTGGGAGGGGGGGGTCCTTCCCCGCCTGCGGCTCTGCGCTCAGGATGGGCGTGGTCGGCAGCTTCCAGTCCCCTCCTCCCCGACGACTCCCGACTCCTGCTCCGTCCCCAGGGGTCCACGCCCGAGGACTTCAGCAACCTCCCGCCTGAACAGAGAAGGAAGAAGCTGCAGCAGAAGGTGGACGAACTGAACAGGGAGATTCAGAAGGAGATGGATCAGAGGTGAGGTGGCCTGACCCTCACCTGGGCCTTGGGCTGCTCCATGAGAGCCTTTGTTCAGAGTCAGCAGCAAATTATATACGTGTGTCAGTCCCCCACCTCTCTTACGAATGAATAGTGAGTTATTTTGTACAAATGAGAGAAACTTGTTTGGTTTTGGTTTTGGAGATAGGATCTCACTATGCAGTTCAGCCTGGCCTCAAACGTGTAGCGATCCCCCTGCCTCAGCCTCCTGAGTGCTAGGAAGACCACACCTGGCTACATGAGGGCAGCTGGCACGACTCTCACTCTTGCCTTTGCCCACCTCCTAGCTTTGGTGCAAGATCTTCCTGCCAGGCTGGGCTCAATGGCGCATCCCTGTTTGTCCTCTCAGCACTTGGGAGGCTGAGGCAGGGGGGTTGCTGTAAGTTCCAGGCCAGTCGGGGGTACACAGTCAGACCCTGTCTCGGAAAAGTCTAAATAAATAAACAATTTGAAAAAAGCAGAAAGGACAACTGAAATGTAAAATCAGCCGTGGCTGTCCTCCCACTTCTGGTCTTACTGATTTTTTTTTCTTCCAGAGACGCCATAACCAAAATGAAAGATGTTTACCTGAAGAACCCACAGATGGGGGACCCGGCCAGCCTGGACCACAAGCTCGCAGAGGTCAGCCAGAATGCAGAGAGGCTGCGGCTCGAGGCGCAGAAGTTTGAGGTGTGGACTGGGGCTGAGGAACAGAGACCGTGCGGGATGCGTGTCATTCCCAGTGCGCCCCGGGAGGAATCCCACGGCTCCTTCACTGGGAGCCTCCGGCAGGGCGGCACACACGTGTGATCCCAGCACTTCGGAGGCTGAGGCAGGAGGGTTGCAAATTCAAGCCCAGCCTCCGAAATTCAGTGACTTAGTGAGACCCTGTCTCAGAACTTTCCAGTTAGAAAGGGGTCTGGGGAAGCGGGGAGGGAGGGGACAGGGCCTCGGGTTTCCAGGGTGACGTCCTGGCCATGGGACTTGGGGTCCGGAAGTGACTTACCCAGATCAGGCTGCAGTGGGGCTCTGCTGCTGTCCAGCGCTGACCCGGGTCTCGCCCCGCCCCGGCCCTGCTCCTGGCTTCTGTCCCCAGGCCTGGCTGGCGGAGGGGCTTACAAGG